TTATTCACCAACACAAACCCAGAATTCTCGAGAGAAACCAAGAACCCGCATCAAAACTTCGCAAATTCCCCGAGCATTAAGCTTATAAACTGAGACTTGCCACTACGAACTCGTAAATCGGCAACTTTCGCTTCAGATTAAGGTAAATTCCTTTGATTTCATTATATTAGTCAAGAGAACCCACAATATAATTGTACATATACAAAACAATACACTTCCTAAACACCAATAAGAAATTTCTAAAGTATATCTAAGATCATACCGTCCCTAAAAAAAAGTCTCATTTTCACTCATCAATGTCACCGTCGAAAGCACCAGAGGCGTCGAGTGACAAAACTAAAGTCGCGGTAGCACCAGTTTATCCATCATGGCGGGAATTTCGGGACCTCCGTTCATTCGCTCTTCCAGCTTCTCCCTCGACGCCACATATCGGCTTCAACAAAACTTAACTCACTTCCATGTCAACTACTTACACCTCATTTTCAAGATCACCTTCTTCTACGTAGGTTTCCTCGTAACCCCAATCGTGTATATCGTATTGGCCGCTGTTTTAGCGTCCTGTTTCTTCTACAAGAGGTGCTTTCATCCAGAAATTTCCAATCTTGAGCGGCCTCAATTCAAAACTTTGAACCCTATATCCTATAGTATTTTACTTGTTGTATATATTGTAATGGCCACTATTTTATCATTGTTTCTTGGGCTTCCATTGATTTATCCGGTGTGCTTGGTTGTGACTTTCGCCACGGTTGTTTGTTTGCACGGTATGCTTAGAGTTCCCATTTATGATCAATATCAAGGTTTACTTGATCCACAACTTCAATCCCAACCTCCAGCTCCTCAGGTTGATGTTTAATGTTTTGGGATAAAGAAATTAAGTCGGTCCTTGTAAGATGAACAACTATATATTGTATTGGATATTTTTCTAGCAAGGTTAGTACTTCCAAAATGGTGGTTTGTGCTTGGTTTCATTACTACGGAGTATGATTTGGGTTAAATCATCTGGATGTTTGGGTGTGCTTGTGGTACAAAGTATATGAAGCCGTATTAATTAATTACTCTTGGGTTAATTTAAAGTTCATGTAATAATAACCAAACTAGTGTGTCCTCTGAGCGTTGCCTCGGGATATCACTTTGAGTAATTTCTTCTTTTTTTAATAAAGTGATTAAAGTATTAATTTTTTTTTAGTTTGGATGCAATTTTATATTCTACAATTAATTCTTTTATGTGGAACAATAGAGTATAAATTATTGGTTGTTAAGATGAAAAGACATGTGATATTCATTCTATGAGGTTAGAAGTTCACCTTACAAAAATAATATTCAGTAAAAATAAATTCAATTAAGTAAAAATAATTTCAATTCAGTAAAAATCAGTAACTCTAATGTAAAAATATAATAGAGAGTCGGTAAAAATATTTTTAGTTTAATAATTTCAGTTCGATCAATTCTGTAAAAATTATTTCAATTAAGCAAAAATAAGGTGAATATTATCTAGTTTGAGTGTTTGACCAAATTTTGACCTTTAAATTTCAAATCAACTATTAGCAATTAATAATAGACATAATATATATGGTGTTCTTAAGCACAACTCATCAATGAATAATGAATGGTACCCTTCATATTAGAGTATTGAGTGTAATAAGGAGAATGGTAATAACATGTGCAAGTTTGATAAAATTATTAGGACTTCAAATGTACTACTAGTAAGAGTCTAGCTACTAACTAATAAGAATAATCATAGTCTAATATAGCTGCTGAACTAGGTCATTGTTGACAGAGAATTAGTCAAGAGAATTACTCGTTTTGGTTTACAAATGTATAAATGCACTTCCTAAATATTAGGGAATGATGTTCTATCCAAAAATCCTATCCGCAACCGATCTGAATTTTTTATATCCGATCTAAGTTTTCATTTCGAATCCGATATTCAATATGAAAAAGCGCATATCGAATATCCAAAATATAAAAGCTGAAATAGTGAAATAAAACGCATATCGAATATCCAAAATATAAAGGCTGAAATAGTGAAATATATACTTCGTATATAATTTTTAAGTTGTTCATATAAAACCGACTCTGTATTATTAACTTCTTATAATATTGGATAATGGATATAAAATTTTTATTTATTTTGTATCGCGAGCCTAAATCTAGTTAATAGTAATAATAATAGTCTAACCTTGTGTGTTAAAGGCTCAAGAAGCTCATTCTTGAAACTTGAAAGGGATAGATATTATAGTAGGATAATATTTGTTAGGATATACTTCATATATATATTTCTGTTCACGGATCGGATATCCTATTCGAAATGTGATTTTGAATCGGATATCCGAATACTCCGATATCATAAATTGATATCTAAATCCGATTTGAAAATTTTGGATATATGATATTCAGATATCCAAAATTTTCGAATCGAATGCTTCGGATATTCATTATCCAATAATAAGTAAAATTGATTAGGATTACTTTCTAAATTTCACTAATTTTATCGTTTTTTTTATCGCTTAAGTTGTACAACATATTTTAACAAAATAGTACTCCTTCTACAATAAATATTATCCTCAAATATATTAAGAATATTATTAATAATTTTATATGAACAATTTAGAAATTTTATATATATTTCATTATTTTAGCCTTTATATTTTGGATATCGAATATCTATCGAAATTTCGAAAATCAATATTCAAATCTTTATCGGTCGCAGATCGGATTATCAGATTTTCAAATTCCCGGATACTTTTGTATAGACCTAATCCTTATCGTTCTAGGTTTCCTAAATAGGGCTAATCTACTCTCCCTATAAAAAAAAATTAAAAAAAAAAAAAAAAAAAAAAAAAAAAAAAAAAAAACTATATATATATATATATATATATGTTTTACTTTCTCTCAAATTTCAACAATGTCGCCGTCGTCAACACCAGAGGCATCGAGTGACAACTCCAATGTCGTGGTAGCACCAGTATATCCATCATGGCGAGAATTTTGGGACATCCATTCATTCTCTCTTCCAGCCTCTCCCTTGGACGCCACAAGTCGGCTGCAACAAAACTTAACTCACTTCTATGCCAACTACTTAAACCTCATTTTCTACATCACCGTCTTCTACATAATCTTCACCGAAACCCCGCTCGCGGTTATCATAGCTGCCGCTATTATTACAGCGTGCTATCTCTTCTGCAGGTTGTGCATTGATTCGGACCGTTCTGATCTTGAGCGCCCTTACCTGTATTTTACTTGCTGTATATGTTGCATTTGCCTTTATTTCATCATTATGTGTTGTTGGGTTTCAATGGATTTATCTGGTGTGCTTGGTTGTGACTTTTGCCACGGTTGTTTGCTTGCACGGTGTGCTTAGAGTTCCCATTTATGATCAATATCAAGGTTTGCTTGATGCGCAACTTCAATCTCAACCTCCTCGGGTGGATGTTTAGTGTTTTGGGAAATAGAAATTAATTCACTCCTTGCAAGATATAATGGATGTAACAGCCATTGCTAGGTTTTCTTCAATATTCCTATTGTTTTTATTGAGTACAGGTAATATGGATGTAACAATCATTGCTAGGTTTTCTTCAATCAATTTTTTTTTGAAAGTTTTCCATGTCTCTTTTCTCTCCATTTTTTTTTTCTTGGTTTCAATTATGAAAATTTATAAGGGATTCTATAAGAATCCGAAGGACCACCTCATTGTTATTTAGTTTTAAGGTGTTATATACTTGTGTTGGAATTCTTGCTGTCTTTTGACTATATTTTATTAATGAAATCCCTTTTCTTTTTGTCAAAATATAATAGTCAATCAACTTGTAACTTTTTTGTTATCATTGTTTTATAATCTCATTTTCTCTTAAATTCTCAATCCCTTTGTGCAATCTGTCGGTTTGCAACACACATACTTTGACAGTGTGTGGTTCTTACAATGTTTAGAAGATATTATACAAATATAAAGAACATATAGCTATAATGAAATGTACATACTTTGATTGTGAGTATAATGTACTTTTATTTGTGATATAATGTTCATTGCTTATTGCAAAATGTTCTTTCAACTTTGTCTTTAAATTATGATGGGTACATATTAATAATGTTCATTACATTATCATGTTCTCTATTAATATTGCAGATGTTCTTTAAATATAAAAATAAAAAATAAAAAATAAACATAAAATTAGATGTTATCTATAAAACAATTATATGTTCGTTACAAAATAATTGTATGTTCTTTAGACAATAGCTACATGTTCTTTCTTTTTGTCAAAAAAAAAAAAAAACTACATGTTCTTTCTGCCTTTTTTGTCTGTACCAAGCATGGTACCATCGCCTATACCTTAAAATTTTCAATACTTTAATACTCCGTTTTTGAATAACAAACTAAGGGAGCGTTTGGTTCACATAACTAAGGTATGGGTTTAGAATGGTTTAAACCCATACCTTATGTTTGTTTTATGATTTTAAGAGTTTTAAACCCATACCTCAATCCCCCAAGGTATGGGGTTTAGAAACCTTGGGGAGGATGTGGGTTTACCTTATTCCCATGCTTTTAGGTATCAAATAAAAATAAAAATAAAAAAATTACATTCCATAAGCATACCAAACATATGGTATTAAGAATCAAGTTTCAAACTCATACCACTATGATTTCATTCTTGATTCCAACCTCATACCAGTTTGCGAACCAAACACCCCGTAACACATCAAAATTTTGAAAGACATGACTTTAGAAAAAAAAAAAGTTTGGTATTTGGGCTTTGATTGGGCCGAATTTCAAGCATTATTTAATTTATACCGTCATACAACCACGTCAACAATAAAATGGGTCTTTGTCAAAAAAAAAACACAAAGTGGGTTTGTTTATGATTACGTGTTCTCAATCACGACGGATTTAACCCATCAATTCGATAAAAACTCAACCACTGCCCACTAGAGTCAAATGGACGGATGTGAGAATCGATCCCAAAATTTCCTGAAATAGAGCTATCCAGAGCTAGATTAGTTTATTAATTGTAAAAGTTTTTTAACCGGGGATTGTAATTGCTAACGGGTCTAATCTGAATTAGATCCTATTAATCCCATCCGTTTTCAACATGTGGATCCTATTTTTTTTTTTTTTTTCCTATTCATCGAAGCTTACACTGATATTGATTGAATAATTGATTATTGATTAGATCTGACAGCTGCACCACTCTCTCTCCTACTTGATTGAAGTGGCTTCTGAGCTTTCTCTCCTGCATTCAAGGAGCTTCTCAGGTATGATTATTGTTCCTTTTTATTAATCATCCAATATTTATTTCACAATTTAGGGTTTAATTTTACCCTTTCGTTAATTCAATTGCTAGTACTAGTATATTCAATTTTGAGTTGTTGTTGGTTATGATTTCTGAAGTAATTTTTATGAATCTTCCATTTTATTAACATCCAAATATTTATATTCAACTCGAATCATCAAACAATTGGTTATGATTTCTGAAGTTATAAAAGCTTGCAATAATCGATTTTGTTGTTGCTACATTTATGTTGTTACTATTAATTGACAGGAATTTTATGTGATTTTGGGACCCTAATTTAATAATTGAGCCAAATTTTGCTGATGTATTGCAATTTTTGATTCTAATTCCGCCCACGAGCTAAACTGCAATTTCATTAGATTTCATTGAATTTAATGGTTTCGCATCCAAGTATATGAATGATTTTTGTTTGGGAGAAGGGTGTGTAGCTTTGGTTTCATCTAAGTATCTTTGGTGTAGATAGAGCCACAAGTGGCATTGATGTAGACGAGGCTTGATTATGATTAACACCCTCGAGTATTTAACTAAGCTAACGGGCATCCACATTTTTTCTTGTGTAAGCAAATGGCTAAGAACTTAGAACTATTATTACATGGTTGGTGTTTGGGGGGGGGGTTGACTTTGAGTTTTTACAGAAATTTGTATACAAATTGGTTTAGTGACACCATTCACCTCATAGTCATATTTGCAAAGGAGTAGCCTTTGCGTGATTTGTGTAACTAAGCGTGTAGTATATGATACGCTTGCCTTATTCAAGACCATTGGACACTGCCGTGTTTGTATGTTGGAGAAGTAGCAGGGGTTGAGAACGGCGTATGGGATTTTGAGATATTTAGTTGAGGAGATTCAGAACTTTCTGGACTTTTTATTTTTTCTAGTCCTTTGAAGCTAAAATATTCTGTGCAAGTGTTGCTTCTGTGTATTTATACCTGAAACGAGTAGTTGATATTTGTTTAAATTAGTCATTTCACTTGATTCTTCAGGTTGTAGTGGATTGAGCTAGCACAAGCATGGAGATGGAGGTCCTGGACAATAAGTTCTTAAATGTGGGGCTACTCATTGTGGCAACCCTTGTTGCTGCTAAATTGATATCAGCACTCATTATGCCAAAGTCTGGAAAACGCCTTCCTCCTGTGATTAAGGCCTTCCCTCCAGTTATTGGTGGCCTTCTACGCTTCCTTAAGGGCCCCATTATCATGCTGAGGGAGGAGTACCCAAAGCTTGGAAGTGTATTCACCTTAAATCTGGTCAATAAGAATATTACCTTCTTGATTGGTCCTGAAGAGTCTGCTCATTTCTTCAAGGCACCTGAAACTGATCTCAGTCAGCAGGAGGTCTATCGCTTTAATGTCCCTACTTTTGGACCTGGTGTTGTCTTTGATGTAGACTATTCCATCCGCCAGGAGCAGTTCCGCTTCTTCACTGAAGCTCTTCGAGCCAATAAGCTCAAGAGTTATGTTGACCATATGGTTATGGAAGCTGAGGTCTTGCTCTCTCTCTCTCTGTCGTCTATATCTTATTAGCTGAATGAATATTTATTGGTGGAAGATGAAATTTTACTTGTCCTTGGGAAGTTGCATTGTGTCTGATTTAATACAGCCTTGCACAATTCAGGTTTTTTTTTTGGGGTGTGTGTGTGTGGGGGGGGGGGGGGGGGGTCTTTGCTGCCATCCTTTACCAGGGAAATTCATAACCCTCTCCTAATGTGTTTGATATTGTGGACTTGTGGTATGATCATCCTTATAAAATACTAAAATTTTACTTGTTATCCAATATACATGGTGTATTATGAAGCTGAAAATGAGCAGTCATCTAATTTGCTAGTCATTTCTCTGACCTTAACTCTAGTATACTGGTTCTATGCAGATTATTAATTTTTGTTTGAATATGCAGGAATACTTTTCCAAGTGGGGAGATTCTGGAGAGGTTGATTTGAAATATGAGCTGGAGCATCTTATTATCTTGACTGCCAGTAGATGTCTCCTGGGTCAGGAAGTCCGTGACAAGCTCTTTGATGATGTGTCTGCTCTATTTCACGATCTTGATAATGGGATGCTACCCATTAGTGTTATTTTTCCGTATCTGCCCATCCCAGCTCATCGACGCCGTGATAGAGCCCGTAAGAAGCTCGCAGAAATATTTTCACGCATCATTTGCTCCCGTAAATCCTCTGGAAAGTGTGAGAATGACATGTTGCAGTGCTTTATTGAATCGAAGTACAAAGATGGCCGGCCTACTACAGAGGAAGAAGTCACAGGTCTGTTGATTGCTGCACTATTTGCTGGCCAACATACCAGCTCCATTACATCTACGTGGACTGGAGCATATCTTCTTCGTTATAAAGAATTCTTTTCAGCTGTGGTTGAAGAACAGAGAACTGTGATGAAGAAGCATGGAGAAAATGTAGACCATGATGTTTTATCTGAGATGGATGTCTTGCATCGCTGCATCAAGGAAGCACTTCGACTTCATCCTCCGCTGATTATGTTGTTGCGCCAATCACACAGTGATTTCAGTGTGACTACACGAGATGGTAAGGAATATGATGTCCCAAAGGGTCATATTGTTGCCACCTCACCAGCATTCGCCAACCGTCTCCCACATATATACAAAGATCCAGACAGTTATGATCCTGAGCGTTTTGCTCCTGGAAGGGATGAAGATAAGTTAGCAGGGCAATTCTCATACATCTCTTTTGGAGGGGGCAGGCATGGCTGCCTTGGAGAGCCTTTTGCTTATTTGCAAATAAAGGCAATTTGGAGCCATTTGTTGAGAAATTTTGAATTTGAGCTAATATCTCCATTCCCAGAGATTGACTGGAATGCCATGGTGGTGGGCGTAAAGGGGAAGGTGATGGTTAGATACAAGCGAAGAAAACTTGTGGTTGACTAATTGTGGTATGTAATCGCCTATTTGGTGAATCATCCTTTTAATTTACTTTTTAATTGATATGTTTTGTGCCGCCAAGGCCCTGCTTGATGTTCATGCTCTCGGTAGAGTTAGCATTTTGGTTGTAAAGCTGCACATTATTTTATAAATCTCATGAATACTGAATATTTTAGATGTGTAAACTCTTGTAGTAGAGTGTAACACCTTTCAATCTGCTTCTCCATTTGAGCTGAAAGTATCTGCATGTTTCTGAAGTCTTTTGATGAATTTTATTCCGTTTCAGCATCTGGTTATCGATAAATTAGTATCTGAAACAAGGATCTTGGCAATCCATCCTCATGTTGATTTCTGAAGCTCTAGACAAGTTGAAGTTCGAAGCACATCAGCAAGCCAGCAACAGCACAACCCAGTAATAGTAAAGAAGCAAACAACTGCAGATCCCCACAGCATACGTCTAATAAATTATATATTTGGGCCACAGGTAATCAACTCTTTGAATATGTCATATTTGAATATTGAAATGAAAGCAGCACTGACATAGTCAAAAGAGTTCAGTATATAAGTACACCAAATGGAGTACTACTTTTCATCGTCTCCAAAACCAGCCCAACACCCTTCATTGATCCTGCCTCCGGAATCAGATTTCTTAATGACACCTTTGTCACAAACAGCCAACGATAACTCTGTCGCCTCACCTGCTAAAATAGCACCATGGCTGGAATTCTTTGACATCCACGCATTCTCCCTTCCCGTCTCTTTCCATGAAGCCACAGCTCGACTAATCCAAAACATAACTCACTTCGATGTCAACTACATAAACTTGGTCTTCCCAATCTTCTACCTCTTTCTAAGCTTCACCCCTCACCGTCTCCCTTTCAATATCTTCTTCTTTTATCTAGTGATTACTTACGCATGTGTGTACCTATACGTGACCCCACGTTACCCTCTCCAAGTACGTGTCTTCGGGTGCATTGTCTTCGTCTTCAATATTTGGATCATCATTGGAGTGCTTGTTTTTTTTTTTTTTTTTTTTTTTTTTTGAGGAAAAGAAGTGCTTGTTGGTATTACTGCTCTAGCCTTCGGCATTGGGCATGCCTGGATTAATCTACTGCTGTCTGTTGTAATTTCCATTGTCATTGTTTGCTTGCACGCCTTTCTTAGAGCTCCTACTTATGATGGCTTACTTGATGCCCTACCTCAACTTGGGCCAGATTTCACTGATGTCTGAATTTTTGGTTTCTTCTATAATAAGAAGGGTGTGGACGTTGTATTTTAAAAAAATTGTATTGTGTAATTAATTTAAGGTGTAATTTGCAAAATATTAAGCAAAATGAAATCTTTCAGGATATTGGGCTTTGTTTAATTATTATTTTATTCATTTAGAAATAGTTGCAAGTTTGTGAGTTGTGATGTTTCCACTTTCACGCTTGTTACTTATACTACTATTTTTATTTTTATTTTTTTGACGAGTTGTTACTTATACTTTTATACTTTCATTAAGTTAGAACTTATATAAAACTTTCGTACAAAAAAAATAAGTAAATTTAAAATTTTATATTTTCATCAAAATTATGATACAGTACAATTTATTGTTAACCAATACATTTCAACGTAGGAGGTCATTTATTAGTATACCATTTAAAATTATTTTATTTTACTAAGATAAATTGATAGGTTTTAGTTATAATGTGACAACTTTTTATATTTAAATTTTAAAAATGTTAAATATAAAAGCTAAAAAAAAAAAAAAAAACCTTTTTATTTAAAGAGCGACATGTAGGCAATGGGGGTTAGAGTCGTCAAAAGTTGACTCGACTCGAAATACCGTCTCAAACCCGATTATTAACCGACTCATCTTAACCCGAAAAAATGGTGACCCAAACTCAACCTGACCCGACCTTAAACCAACCCTAGACCCGAGTATGTGAGACCCGAATCCGAACATGAACTGACCTGGAGATGACCCGACCCGAATGTAACCCGTAAATTATTGACCTGAACCGAACCCGACTTGAACCGAAATTGACCCAAACCTGTTTTAACCCGTCAAAACCCGAATTTAACCCGACTTGTTACTAACCTCACCTGAATTCAACCCGATCCATTCCTTACCCAACCCGAATTTAACCCAACCTGTTACAAACCCGACCCGAAATCAACCCGACTTGTTATTGACCTGACCCAAATTCAACCCGACTTGTTACTGACCCGACCTGAATTTTACCAGACCGATTACTAACCCGACCCAAAAACTCAACCCGATTTATAACTAACCCGACTCGAAATCAACACGACTTGTTATTGGCCTGACCTAAATTCAACCGAAATTGTTCTCGACCCGATTATTGACTTGAACATAACCCGATTTCATTAACTCAAGCTTACCACAAACATTTATGACAAAATATAATGATCATATATGGATCCAAAACGCATTATATGACCCAAATATGTATCCCCTAAAATCTCAATGCCTTTTGACACCAGGCCCCGAAACATTCGAAATTACTCAAAAGCATGGATAATTAGCCTTCAATTTTGGAATTTTTTTTGACTTTTTTTCACCCGGATATAAAAATTGTCGAAATGTTTACCATGGTCCCAAATACCCTCCTGGAGTCCAATTGGGTTGGTGGAACCATCCAATTTGTCTTTAAACGACCAATTTACCGGTTTTCAACTTCCATCGATTTCATTAATTCAAGCCTATCACGAACATTTATGACAACAAATAATGATCATACATGGTTCCAAACAACATTATATGACCCCGAAATGTATTCCCTAGAATTTTAAAGCTTTTCGACACCAGGCCCCGAAGACTTTAAAAATTCTCAAAAAGCGTGGATATAGCCTTCAATTATTGAATATTTTGATTTTTTTTTCGCCCAAAAATAAAAATTGCCGAAATGTTTACCATGGTCCCTAATACCCTCCGCGAGTCCAATTGGGTGGTTGGAATCATCCAATTTGGCTTTAAATGGCCAGTTTACACTTTTCGACACCGAGACACGAAACCTTCCAAATTTAGCAAAATGCGTGGATATTAGTCTTCAATTTTGGAATTTTTTGAATTTTTTCTCTTGGAAATAAAAATTGCTAAAATGTTTACCATGGACCCTAGCTAATAACCTCCGGGAGTCCAATTGGCTGGGTGGAACCATCTAATTGGCTTTAAACAACATATTTACCGGTTTACAACTTGCACCGATTTCATTAGCTCAAGCCTACCACGAACATTTATGACAATATATAATCATCATATATGGTTCCAAATGGAATTATATGACCCAAAGATGTATCCCATAAAATCTCGAGGATTTTCGACACCAAATCTCGAAACCTCCAAAATTTCTCAAAAAGCGTAGATTTTAGCCTTAAATTTTGGAATTTTTGACTTTTTTTTCGCCTCTAAATAAAAATTGCCGAAATATTTAACATGGTCCCTAAGTACCCTCCGAGAATCCAATTAGATGGGTGGAACTGTACAATTTGCCCTTTAAATGGTGAATTTATCGATTTACAAGCTCCACCGATTTCATTAACACAAGCCTACCACGAACATTTATGACAACATATAATGATCATTCATGGCTTAAAACTGTATTATATGACCCTGATATCTATCCCCTAAAATATTAAAACTTTTCGACACCGGGCCCCGAAACCTCAAAAATTTCTCAAAAAGCGTGAATATTAGCCTTCAATTTTGGAATTTTTTTTTTTTTGCTCGAAAATAAAAATTGCCAAAATATTTTCCATGTTTCCTAATACCTTCCGATAGTCCAATTCGGTACGTGGAACCATTCAATTTGCATTTCAACGGCCAATTTACCGGTTTACAACTTGCACTTATTTCATTAACTCTAGCCTACCACGAAGATTTATGACAACATATAATGGTCATTTATGGTTTCAAACGTCATTATATGACCCCAAGATGTATCTAATAAAATCTCATTTCTTTTCGATACCTGGCCCCGAAACTTTCGAAATTTCTCAAAAAGAATGGATATTAACCTTCAATTTAAGAATTTTTTGACTTTTTTTCTACCGGAAATAAAAATTTCCGAAATGCTTACCATGGTTCCTAATACCCTCTGGGAATCCAATTGGGTGGGTGGAACAATCTAATTTGTCTTTAAACGACCAATTTACCAGTTTACAACTTGCACCGATTTCATTAACTCAAACCTACAACGAACATTTATGGCAGCAAATAATGATCACATATGGTTCCAAACGACGTTATATGACCCTGATATATATTCTCAAGAATTTCAAGACTTTTAGCCACCGAGCCCCCAAGACACCAAAATTTCTCAAAAAACGTGGATATTAACCTTCAATTTTTTAATTTTTTGACTTTTTTTCTCCTGTAAATAAAAATTGACAAAATGTTTACCATGGTCCCTAATATCCTCCGAGAGTTCAATTGTGTGGGTGGAACCATCCAATTTGCCTTTAAAAGGCCTATTTACCGGTTTACAACTTGCACCGATTTCATTAACTCAAACCTACCATGAACATTTATGACAACATATAATGATCAAACGACATTATATGACCCCGAAATGTAATCCTAAAATTTCAAGAATTTTCGACATCGGACCTCAAAACTTCCAAAATTTCTTAAAAAGCATGGATCTTAGCCTTCAATTTCGGAATTTTTTGATTTTTTTTCGCTCGAAGATAAAAAAAAAATCTAGAAATAATTACCATGGTCCCTAATACCCTCCGGGAGTCCAATGGAGTGGGTGGAACCATCCAATTTGCCTTTAAACGGCCAATTTACCGGTTTACAACTTGCACTGATTTCATTAACTCAAGCCTAACAATAACATCTATGACAATTTATGGTTCTAAACAGCATTATATGACCCCCAGATGTATTCCCTAAATTCTCAAGACTTTGCGACATCGGGCCCCGAAACCTAAAAAAATTTTCAAAAAGCGTTGACATTAGCTTTCAATTTTGGAAAATTTTGACTTTTTTCGCCAGAAAATAAAAATTGTCGAAATACTTACCATGGTCCCTAATATCCTCCGGTAGTCCAATTGGGTGGGTGGAACCATCTAATTTTCCTTTAAATGGCGAATTTACCGTTTTACAACTTGCACCAATTTCATTAACTCAAGCCTACCACGAACATTTATGACAACAAATGGCGATCAAATATGGTTCCAAACGACATTATATGACCCTGAGATGTATTCCCTAGAATCTCAAGACTTTTTGATACCGGGCCCCAAAACCTACAAAATTTCTCAAAAAGCGTGAATATTAGCCTTTAATATTGGAATTTTTAGACTTTTTTCGCCCGGAAATAATAATTGCCGAAATGTTTATCATGGTCCTTAATACCCTTTGGGAGTCCAATTGGGTGGGTGGAACCATCCAATTTGACTTTAAACAACCTATCTACCGGTTTATAATATGCACCGATTTCATTAACTCAAGACTACCACGAACATTTATGACAACAAATGGCGATCATATAAGGTTCCAAACGACATTAAATGACTCCGAGATGTATCCCCTAGAATTTCAAGACTTTTCAACACTAGGCCCTGAATTCTCCAAAACTTCTCAAAAAGCGTGGATATTAGCCTTCAATTTTGAAAATTTTGACTTTTTTTTTCTCCCGGAAATAAAAATTGCCGAAATGTACCATGGTCCCTAATATCGTTCGGGAGTCCAATTAGGTGGGTGGAACCATCCGATTTTCCTTTATACGACCAATTTACCAGTTTACAAATTGCACCGATTTCATTAAGGGCCTGTTCTCTTACGTTGAAATTCAGTTCAGTTCAGTTCAGTTCAGTCCGGCTCAGCTCAGTTTAGTTCAGTTCAGTTCAATTCAATTCAGCTTAGTTCAGTTCAGTTCAGTTCAGCTCAGCTCCTAATTTCCTTCTCTTATAAAATATTCATTTCAGTTCAGTTCAGTTCAGCTCATTTCAGTTCAATTCAGTTCAGTTCAGTTCAGTTCAGCTCAATTCAGTTCAGTTCAGTTCAGTTCAGTTCAGTGTACCTGAGTTCAGTCAATGAGAACAGGCCCTAACTCAAGCCTACCACGAACATTTATGACAACAAATAATGATCATATATGGTTCCAAACGGCATTAAATGAATCCAAGATGTATCCCCTAGAATTGCATGACTTTTCGACAGTGGGTCCCGAATTCTCCAAAATTTCTCAAAAAACGTGGATATTAGCCTTCAATTTTGAAAATTTTGACTTTATTTTTCGCCCGAAAAAAAAATTTCCGAAATGTTTACCATGGTCCCTAATACCGTTTGGGAGTTCCATTAGGTGGGTGGAACCATCCGATTTTCCTTTAAACGAACAAATTACCGGTTTACAACTTGCACCGATTTCATTAATTCAAGCCTACCACGAACATTTATGACAACAAATGATGATCATATATGGTTCTAAACGGCATTATATGAACACGAGATATATCTCATAGAATTTCAAGACTTTTCGACACCGTGCCACGAAACCTCCAAATTTTCTTAAAAAGCGTGGATATTAGCCTTCAATTTTGGAATTTTTGACTTTTTTTCGCCCGGGAATTAAAATTGCCGAAATTTTTACCATGGTCCCTACTAACCTCTGGGAGTCCACTTGGGTGTGTGGAACCATTCAATTTGCTTTTAAACGACCAATTTATCTGTTTACAATAGCTAATTTAATTAACTTGCACCGAACCCAACTTGAACCGAAATTGACCTAAACCTATTTTAACCCGTCAAAATCCGAATTTAACCCGACTTGTTACGAGATTGACCCGTTCCTAACTCGACCCAAATTTAACCCAACCTGTTACAAACCCGACCAGAAATCAACCCGATTTGTTAATTACCTGACCCAAATTCAACCCGACTTGTTATTGACCCGACCCAAATTTTACCATACCTATTACTTACCCAACCCAAAAATTCAACCTAATCTGTTACTAACCCGACTCGAAATTGACACGACTTGTTATTGACCTGCTCTAAATTCAACTCAAATTGAACCTGACCTGATTTCAAATCACCTTAAATGCAATTTAGACCACCTTATTATTATTGATCAAAGCATTTTGTCTTGCGAGACCAAGTCGTTCTAGGCCAGCAAAAGAAAGGAGCATCATCCTCAAATTTAAGAGTTAAATATAATATATATTTGTTGTACGGTCAAAGGAGATAATTATCTTCCTAAATTATAAGCTATAGTTCCCTAGTATATTTCCATATATATTATGGTCAAAGGAAATAATTAGTTTGATTAAAATGATAATTATCTATTTATAGTTAGTTGAACCCAAATATGACCCGACTTGGAAATGACCCGACCTGATTGTAACCTGCAAATTATTGACTTGAACATAACCCGATTTAAATCCGAGAATTACCCGACTTGAAAATGACCCAACCTTATTATAACCCGCAAATTATTTACTTGAACCGAACACGACTTGAACCCGAAAATGACCCGACTTGAAAATGACTCGACCTGATTATAATCCGCAGATTATTGATTTGAACCGAGCCCGACTCAAACACGAGAATGACCCGACGCTATTCTAATTAACTCGCAAATTATTGACTTGAACTGAACCCTGATCTGTTTTAACCCTTGAAAACCCGAATTAAACCCGACCTATTGCTCACTCGACCCGAATGTATCCCGATCTGTTATTAACCCGACCTAAACCCGACCCAAACCCGATAATTAGTATGACCCGACATGATTCGACTCAAGCATGACCCAACCCAAACCCGACCCGCATAGGTTATGGAATTAATCTGAATTGATCCGACCCGAGTTGACCTGACCCACTCTTACCCGACTCGTTTACCCGAATTAACAACTCTAATAGGGATGTCAGCATTTTACATGGTAAGGTTAATCGGGCCCAGACAAAGGCTCCTATCACAGAATAATCTTGTTTGGAATGCACTAGAGGGTTAAGGGGTGGGATCTATTGTTGACGAGGATCCAACCTCGCACCTCGAGGATGCGAGGTGACCTCTTATGCCACTGCACCAAGAGGTCTCCCTCAAGCTTTTTAATTCATGACTTCAAATCTTCAACCACTAACATTTAGAATTAGAGGTGTTAATTTGGGTGTTAGGGTTGGGTTAGTTTAATTTCAATCATGCTGAATTAGTATACTAATCTAGTAGTTGTTACTCTTGTTAGTATTAGTACTCTAAGTTCAACCTTAAATAAATGAATTCCATGAAACTTTATACCTAAATCTCAGAGATATAAAGTGAAAAATGTCACTATTCCATCACCTTAACCTTATAAGCCTATAAGGTACCTCAATTTTTACGAGGCATTTGGCAGCAAAGATATGGATAGTGAGAATAAGAAGGTAGGATAAGGATAAGGATAGAGAATTAATAAGTGAGATAGGGATAAAAATTATGTTATCCATTGTTTGGTATGATTTGTGAATTAAATTGGGTAAAGTAATAAAATTACTTAACTATCCTTATTAACATTTCTCCTCTCTTCTCTTCCTTCTCTTTCATTAAGGGTCAATATTAATTCCTATACCTTATATTTGTCCCCTTGATATAAAAATAGAGGGATGACTCCCATTAAACAAACAAAGGATACCACACTAACCCTAATCCTGATTCCAAAATTATAAATCATTCTGCAAACCAAACGTCCCCTAGCCCCCCTTAATTCTTGATCTGAGAAATGAATTATTTTTTTTTTTTTTTTTTTTTTTTTTTTTTTTTTTTTTTTGGGACTACAACCATGTACCATACTAGAAACACTTATTCCAAATAAAGACTATTCCAAGTTTTTTTTACGAAAGGTACTACAGTACATTTGTACTAATTCATTTTTTTTTTTTTTGGGTAAACAAAACTAAACATAGCCGGTCCACGATCCAAATTCTTCTGAACCCTGTCTCATCCCACATTCCCCAACAATGTCCTCCCAACCCTCCGGCGACTACGCCGCCGCAGCAACCACCCAACCATGGCCGTCATTCTTCGACATCCACTCTCTCTCCATCCCAGTCTCCCTCTCCGACGCCACAACTCGCCTCAACTCAAACCTCGCCCACTTCAAACTCAACTACCTCAACATCTTCCTCATCATCCTCTTCCTCACTCTCGCTCTTCGCCCTCTCTCTCTCCTCCTCGTCTTCCTCTCCGCCGTCGCCTGGTACTACTTCTTCTTCTCCTCCTCCCGCACTTCTCCGCTCGAAATTTTAGGGTTCGTCGTTGACGATCGAATCATCGTTGCTGTGCTTTCTGTGATTACGATCATCGCTTTTGTTGTTGCTCATGCTTGGATGAATTTGCTGCTTTCGATTGTGATTTCTGCGGTTCTTGTTTGTTTGCACGGTGTTCTTAGGGTTCCGGTTGGTGATTCTGATCCTTATGGTGGTCTTCTTGATGCTGAATCTGGAAGTTATAGTGAGTTTTAATTCATTTAGGGCTTTCTGATTGTTAATTTTAGTTTGTAATTGTTGTTGATTTCTGATTGAAACTGGAATTGAATCCTATGCTTGATTTATTTGAGCATTAATTTTGTTTGTAGTTGATTGTAATGAAATTGATCGCGTTGTTGCTAATTTGGAAAAATTTTGTGTAATTTTTCTGTCAAATTGGTTTAATTGTCAGATTTGAGCTCAAGAAATTAATATTATTACTATTATTGTAATTGAAATTGATTTTCTTTGAATTGATCTTTAGGACAATTTTTGAATTGATTCTGCAAAGAAAATATACATTGTTTTTGGTCAATGGAGATGTATTTGAGTTCAAAATTTGGCTAAAATTGCAGTTTGTCTGAACAAAAACCTGTCTTAATTTGGGCACCATTACTGATCAATACTTCAAGCTAATCGCCGTAACAATAATGCTCAATTCTAATTCGAATGAGACTACGAAAATATGGATGTAGCTAACCTAGCTATGCAAATAATAGCACAACTAATTAGGATATAGCCTTGAACCTGTCTGTATCGCCTAGTAGCAACAGGCGACAAGCACCATTACGGACAAGAATCAAATGGTGCACTCCGGTACATGAAATTATTTGCGATTGGTGTGTGCCTAGTTGCCTACTCTTCATTGTCATTTGTAGTCTTATTATATGCAATGTGCTTGTATCTGCTCTCACCTTATTGAACAAATTAAGGTTTTAGCTTTAATTACCAACATTGGTTATTTTATGCAATTGTATCGTGTCATTGTGTGTGTATTAGGAAAACCTGTAACATTCTATCCAGAAATTAACGTAAGAGCAACAAACAATATTGTTAAAGAACAGATATTCTTGACATGAAATATAACTTTATTATAAGTTTTATTATTATTTGTGATGGAATGTTGAAGTACTACAAGTACATACAACATTCTTGATTATTTTCATTACTTCGTATATCATAACTTCATAAGGTATCAGAAACATAGAACCAAACTTTGATCAAAATACATAATATATTTATAATTAGTCCCCTGGATAAAACTCTTTCAAGTTACATCCAACATAAGTGTGAGTATAGGTATCCCCTTTTCAGCTACCTCAAATCCGATTCTCCGAGCAATGCCGAGGTTATGTTTGGAAGCCTCATCAGCATTCTGTATGCTGGTTCGCCAAAAAAAGCAGTAGTGCACCCATAAATTCTCTGAAACAACAACATCCAAAACAAAAAAGTAAAAACCCAACAATATATTTGCCAATTGGGTCAAAAATTTTGGATGTCATAAGAGATGGTGATAAAAAAGAAGCTGCACTACTGCTTGACCAATCAAGCTCGACCCGCCAGGAGAAAATCGGAGGAGATTGCCAAAAAAAGGGAGAGTAAAGGAACCACTAGCCACTTAGCCAGCCATATCCTAGAAAAAGGTGTAGTTATGTATTCGTATATATTAGCTAGTACTGATATGCACTGGATCACATCAGAACAGAGAACCTCGGATGAAGGATCTCTATTCATCACCTTGAATATACCAGCATAGAAGCATTGTAGCACATCTTCTTAGGATATAGATTCGAGCACGCTGTTCTTTAACCAAAGAAGCACACTTCCTTGATATTCCACTTCCCTTTCTCTTTGAAGAAACATATGAAACACTCTTGTATCGTTGGATTTCAGCCATGACTTAATGAGATTTTTTTTTTAAAAAAAAAATTTGTTTTTTTTTTTTTTTTTTCTCAAGTGATTAGGAAAAGAATGTGAAGAAAGAAAATGAAAAAGAAGAAACTTAACTATGTGATGAGGAGGAAGAATACTTCTTCACTGACTATGAAAGAATGATACACAATGTGGTGTATGTATATCACATGCCAACGAGTTGACAATAAATATATTAAGGGATAATTTAAGAGGAGGTGAACATGACTAGTATCGAAAAAAGTAGGGTATGTGTTAAAAAAAATAAAACGACGTAGTTTTAAAGATGGGGAGGTGAACGTGGACATAAACTTAAAATATAATTTACTACTATGAAATTTGTGAGTAGTTTTCGAGAAGAGGTTAATATTTATAATTTTAAAGAGAAAATTTTAATAGAAAGATTAGAAAGTTGGCAAAGGAGGCATTAGAAAAATGAAGGATGTTTATACAAAACAAAGCAAAGGTAGAGTTGTAAGGGAACAATTACCCGGCAATGAGATGATAATTCATAATTTAGAGGGCTTAAGGGCTTGTTTGGTTGGATTTGCACAAAATTTTATAAGGTCCCACCTCCCAACACACGTCATAGACACCATGGTTATAGCTAAATTATACAAAAATAATTGAATTACACGCCCAAACAAACAATGGGCTGTGTTAATTTTTTATGGTTTAGACATTAATTAGATGGAAGATAGGCAATTAGGGGTATATTATATGTTAAGCTACTTTTAGTTGATAGGATTTGAGGAATCATATCCGGTTTATATGGAACCTACCTCATCTCGTTATGGAATCAATTCAAGTTTTATGTTTTATTGAGTGTGTCTTAGAGCGTATTAGACTCTTATTTTTACGGTGAAGTTTAAATTGGTTAAGTCATCAATTGATCTTGTTTAGGAAGGATGACGACAAATAAGAATAAGACAATAGTATCATATACAAAACCTAACATCTTAAATCAGTCTTTTTGCCAATTCAAGTAAAAATCATCTTCTTCTTTTTTTCCATCTAATTAGTCTATTTTGATAGAGTCACACGTTAGTTACCAAGATAATTATCCTATGCTTAGCAAGATAGTTATCTTATCACTTATTTATAGGATTGTATTATTATCTTCTTTGTAGCTTTATGTTTATCTTCTTGTAGCTGTACGTAGAGCTTCTTGTATATAATATAGGCTGTATACTCATCTTTGTAAATTAATCAAGAATATACATAAATTAATCAAGAATATACAATTCCTTCATATTTTATGTGTTTGATATTATTGGTTCCGTGCGACAAGAGTGACAAAGACTAGTCTAAAAATTTTGTGACAAGAGTTTATGATGCATATAAATGGATATGCATGGAATTAAATAGATGCTTCGATTAGGATGAACAATCATGGAATTAGAAAGGTACTAAACTCAAATGAAGCTTCACAATTAGATGGAGCCTACATGTTTTCTGTTTTTCAATTAATAACCAAATTAAGCTTTTATTTGATGTGGAACTCATAGAGGTGTGATGGAAGTCTTGCCACATTGCATGTTAACAAATAAAGCATCTAGGAGAGGCTATAATTTTTCCAAATTATAGTGGAACTTGTTTCATCAAGGGAGATTTTTCTTTTTTTACAATCACCAAGCCACCAAATTAAATGAAAAATATCATTATTATAATGATATTTTATAATATACATTTCACACATTCAAATTTGAAGTGACGAGTGAGAGAGTTTGTTGTATTTGCAGTTTTGTAGACAACATTTTGATCAACGAAAAATATTATAACCTATTAAATAGTTGACATCCATTCTTAACAACTTTCATACTTCTTGATAAATTATGCTTGATCTCTTCCCTAATCCGAAACCAAAGCAACTAAAGCTAGAGTTATTATATTTATGCAATCAAAATTAGATTGAATTTGGATTCCAATTCAATCTCTTCTTACAAGTATAATAATTAATTCTTATATCTATTGATTTTAATATGTAAGATGTAAATACTTAATTAATACACCCTTATGCTAAAAACAAACAAGATTTGTAGCATATCTCACATACCACCAAATCCTTGTATGTTCAAAACGATGAATTAATTAATTTAGTCCCCTCAAAAAAAAAAGTTTCAAATATGTGGTTGGAAAATGGCCTACCTAAACTATTGATCATTAATAGTTTAGCTTGAGTAAGCAGCACATGATTAAAAATCAACTAAAAACAAAAATAAAATCACAATTATTGCAATAGATTTTGGAGATAACTAACTAATAATTGTTAATGCTAAATTTAAAAACTGTTTATCACATTATTGTTGATACTTGCCATTATCTGGTTCAAAGATTTGGTGTACAAGTATTCCTAATCACTTGCAAATTGCAATTTTAGGATTTTCCACATGATATGTTGTTGGTTGGTCTCAAATTGGAACAACCTAAAGTCTTCTTAGGTTTGTTGCTCGATTTACTAATTATAAGACAACATTGTTTTATATTTTCATGATATTCTTTTGTATTGAATTGGTTGGTAATTAATGTTGGCATCAAAATAAGTAATTAATTTCTCAAATAATATTTTAATTCAAGTTGAACCACAACTAACAAAAGTTGTTCATGTCTAATAAAATAAATAAATTACTAGTCCATTTGACTGATTTACTGTCCCAAATCAAAGATGCAATCTAATTTGGTTGCTAATGCTAAAGTTAATATCAGTTACTGATTCGTTAATGATTTTATCACGTTACTGCCTTTAAATCGGTTAACAAAGTTTAATGAACTATGCAAAGTTGTTTATTTATACTATATATATTATATAACATGAACAAATTTATATTTTGTTTGTTGGTATGTGAATGTGCTTTTCCAATGAAGATAGTATGCTTCATAATTTCTGGTAATTGTCTAGTGGTGTGGTTGCACACTGATCTTGTAACGATCTCGTTTGGCATCCACCCTTATCGTGATTCATGAATGATTTTATTTACGAATTAGGTAATGCTCGAGTCATGCCCAGTTATGTTAGTTAAAATATATATGAAAGAATTTAAAGCAAAGTTTGGATGTTTGTTAGTTAAAGTATAAAGCTTTATTTTCAATGGTTCATTGAAAAAAAGTTAATGAATGAAACCCACTTTACCAAAAATCCAATACAATTTTCGTCTATAAGGAAATTTGATTTTGGTAAGCTATTTACGAAGTAATAAACATTACATACAAATGTTAGGTTGTCCATTACACACCCGGGTATACCATGCACATGATTCCGTATACTGATGTTCTAATTTATGATATAGCTAGCGCTCATGCATGGCTTTAGCATTAAGGAAAAACACAATCTTCTTCGTTTTATGCTCTTGGTACCAAAATCCCAAGATTCAATGAATTGTACATGTTTGAGATTGAGAATGATACAATGCTATTGCATAAGGGAGATGTTTTGCCTCAACAATGGCGCTACGTTGAGATTGCTAACATATTGGAGATAAGTCTACCCTTTTCCTTTTCATAAAAGTAACATCGTTTTCCAAGTTACAACACCAAGAAATGCCAATCTCATGAAATTTTAAAA